CTAATCTGAATATGCCTTCAATTTCCACCTCAGGTTGAAGCCAGCAACACTGATCTTGAACTCTCCATACACAAGATGAAATCAGAAGATGCTGAACTAAGGGACTCGCTAGCCCGGATGGGGGCTCTAAATGAAGGACTAGCGAATGACAAAATCAAACTAAACCATATCATCCTCCAGGTAACAAGATACTATAGTAATTGTGCTAGTGACAATAGTATAGTAATTGTCACTAGTAATTGTCAGGCATAAAGAATCAGGACCATGGATTAAGCAGTTCAGATTATTTATTGCTCATGCCTATACACAAGAATCTTAGTGAACTAACAGTCAGCACTAAATTAGCACTAGGTAAGAGTTAATGGAATTCAAGAAGGGTGGGACTTGGACCTCTTATGACAACATAATGACTCCAGGCTGATTCCTTTCTTGAGTCCCCCCTTCCTGCTGTGGCCACCCCAGGATCCGCCTCTCGTTCTTTAGCTAGGAACCGACTTTAGCAAAGAGCAGTAACTGTACATGTCAGCTTGCCTGCACTTGATGAATAACAAACTTTCAAGTGTTAAAGATTTAAATACTGAATGATAACAAATAACAGATTCTTAGATCAAAAATAAGGATATTAATTCCACTTTGTTCAAGAGACAAGGCAGTTACAGTGTATTCTTCAAGGTTATAGTAAAGAATACAAAGAAGTGAAACACTGAAAAATTTAAAATTGTAGAAAATTTAAAAAGCAAAACAGAAAAACATTTTAAGGAGGAATTGTCAGTAGCTCACATTTTCCCTTTCCTTTCATAGTCCCAGCTTCTAATCATTACAGAAGTATTTGTACCTTTCTTGAAATATTGGAGATAGTTATTTACATTTGTTTAAACCATTTCCTTTTATATTCTTATAATTGATCTCATACCTCTTTTACTTTAAAAAGTGTTCCAAGTATCTAAACCTGCCTTTTTATATATTATATAATACCTTTATTAAGGGAGCAATTCCTGTGTGAATTTAGTTAAATAAATATACAGAATGAGCTCTACTCTTGCTGCATATTCTCTGACTTTATTGTGCCATTCTTGTATTATTGGTAAGGTTTCATTTTTCCAAGATTGTAGCAAGTTCTTCTGGTCTCTGCCAGTACATATCATAGATTATGATACTTTTTGTTTATGCTCTCTGGAATTATTCCTATTAAATATATGTGTGGTTTTAGTTAAAATGCTATTTTTTAAAAAAAAATCATAATGTTTTAGTGTTATTTCCTTCCAACATTTAGGGTTTACACATCTCTACACACACACACACACACACACACACACACACAACCAATGCAATATGGTAGAATGTTCTCTATTATTGCATTTCCCATATTATTTATTGTTGTTTGATTTGCCCATCTTAGGAATCACTGATAGGGGTGTATACTTTCTATAAAACATTTTGTACCAATATTTCCTAACATTATAACTTGGAGTGAATTTTATTAATTTTTCTATAGTTCTTCCCATTGTTACAGCGTAATTATGTTTGATATTTTGCATTCCATTTTATCATGCCCTTTGTAATTTATTTTATCTCTGTATCATATCAAAAAACTTTATAGAAGAGTCCCAATAGATATTGATTTTGTATACATGTTTCAAATTCGGTTACCTTTTTTGATGTGTGTCCTTCTTCCCTGAGATCATTTTAGGCACATTAACCAGGGTAAATTCTGATCTTTATTAAGCAATTCTTGTTATGTCTCTTCAGTAATATGATTTCTGAATCCAGATAAACCACATTAGTATGTATGATGTTTTGTAGATACTATACAGCCCTGTCAATGATTCCAAAGATAGACAAATCAATGCGAGAAATGCAATAATAAATAGAACATTCTACAATGTACATTGCTGTGTATACACACGCACACATGTATAAATTACGGTAATGTTGGAATAAAAAATATTTGAAAGTGATGCTAATGGTAAAATCACCAGTCTTATCCGTTTCAATTTTTTTGCATACTTGTCTCACAATATCTTCTTCCTCCGCTTCCTCTTCCTTTTCTGCTGCTCTGTTTCTTTCTTTATATCATTAATATCTATGAAGTCATTTGGCTAAACTGTCTCTTTCTAAAATTAATATTCTGTTATTTGGATATTTTACCCATGTTATTATCCATAATGGACAATTTTCTTTTCGATTTTGTAAGATTTTGAATCTTGTTTATTCTCCACTCCATACAAATCTAAAATTTGAATTTGCTGCAAAAGCTTGCAGAGAACAAGCCATTTGTGATAGTTGCCGTTTGACATTGCTATATAGCAGTGTTTTGAATTACTTTCATTTTGTCTTGGTCCTCTACATATAGTCACTTGCTTTGTGAGATAGGAACCTATATACATTTGACAAATAAATAAAGTGCATATAATTCCTAGGTCTGAGAGAGGGAAATTAGCCCAGAGTCACTCATGTGGTTTTCTGCCTAAGGCATAACTCCAACTCACAGTGTCTCAGTTTCTAGTTTGGTTCATTAACAATCACGCCAAACAAAATAAATTATTGCAGATGTTTTATAAATTATGGATTGCTCCTAACAGGAGATGAGATTAAAGAGTTTATTTTTTTAATGATGTGGCTTCAATTATATGCACATGCACGGCACACCTGCCTACACTATGTCCATTGAAAGTAACTTCATTAAGGCAATGACAAAGAGGAGTAGTCTAAAACCCTCTGCAGTGATCCCACTGCTGTATCTGCCCCATATGTTAATAATAATAATGTGGATGTTAATTACATACATACATACATACAGTACATCTCAGTTGGCTTTTAAGGTTGCAGGTTGGAGAACTGCAGATGGCTGGTGATGTGCAAGTCTCTGTGTAAAATTTAAATCAAATTTTGCCCAAAATGTTTTTCAACGCAAATGCCAAATCTATATTGACTAGGGATGGCCAATCGAATAACCAATATTTCTGCCCTGTTGTTTATTTTCCATTTGGCACTTGCACATTTGGCAGAAATTTGTCAAAACAGAACTAGGTAAGCAGATAAACAACCTGACTTAGAAAAGAAGGCAAGGGGGAAAGGTGTGTGTGTGTGTGTGTGTGTGTGTGTGTGTGTACACCAGCACATATCTATATAGATGCATATCTCTATAAGATTTCTGATTCCTGATCCAACTGCCTATGCTTATAAAGTTGCTCATTTATTCAGGCAGTTTGGAACTTATGAATAAAGTTACTGCAAGATTGTACTGCTATGATTTCTCAAACAAATATTTCCTCAACATTCCCTTATGGTGGCAGGACTCCAAGTTAAGCCTGCCATTTATAGCAATAGCAATAGCAGTTAGACTTATATACCGCTTCATAGGGCTTTCAGCCCTCTCTAAGTGGTTTACAGAGTCAGCATATTGCCCCCAACAACAATCCGGGTCCTCATTTTACCCACCTCTGAAGGATGGAAGGCTGAATCAACCCTGAGCCGGTGAGATTTGAACAGCCGAACTGCTGAACTACAGTCAGCTGAAGTAGCCTGCAGTGCTGCATTTAACCACTGCGCCACCTTGGCTCCCTATGTTCCTGTCCACCTTCTGTCCTCCCACTTCTAGAACTTATACATCCCTGTGTTTCCTCTTATTGTGCAGCTTGAAGATGAGAAGAGCAAGCTGGTAGGGAGGAAGCAGGAGTTGGAGCACGAGCAAGTGGTTTGGCAAGAACACCTTGCACACTTTGAAAAGGAGCAGGTGCACATGAGGGCAGAGAAACACGAGTTGGAGCAGAGTTGCCAAGCCTCTGAAGAGAAAGGGGAGATGCTGGAAGGAGAAATAGCCTCACTCAGAAGGGAAAGAGTCCAGCTACAGGACCAGATAATGCAGGTATGAAAAGATGAGGAGGCCTTTTATCACGGCAAAGTACAGTATGTACATAGGAATCAACTCGGTTGTTCTGATTCAGACTTTTGCATTTAGCTGAATAACTCTAGAAAGATGGCAAGCAGAGCTTGGTAAACAACTAGATGCACTTACATTCTGTAGCCAAAAGAAAATGAATTTATGCAAATCACCCAAAAATATTGTCGTTTTGGTTTTCTTGACTGCTAACATTATGATGAGAGTAATCTATAACTTTGCATCCCTACCATCACTTTTTACCCTCTCTCTATATATCTTGGCATGTTAGGTATATGGAATAGTATTAGGATCCATGGATTGTAATGTGATAAGGATCTGAATAGATCGCTCTAAAGGCTCCAAATTTTAAGATATAAAGGTTTAATTTTAATAATAGTTTCTGTGAGGGAATCCAGACGTTTTTGTAGAAGTTTTGTAGGAGACTTGCTTTCAGAGTTGTAGCACAATGAACACAGGGGTGAAAAAAGATTCTTTTTTAGAAAAAAGTAATGGATCATTTTAGCAATTGCATTTATATCTTCTTTTTCTTTAGAACTTTTGCCTTTTGTATGAGTTCTTCCACTCTGTCTCTGATGTATGTTTTTGTCTATATTCTACCAGCTGAATAGCCAGAAACAAACTCTAAGTGAGCAATTGGCCCAGAGCCACAGGGAGATCGAAATGCAGACTGATTCACTCATCCGTGTGCTACAAGAGAAGGAAGAAATAGCTAAGGAGAAGGCACAGCTGGCTGTGGAGCTCACTGCAATGCAGAGGCAGAAGAAGTTGTTAACAGAGGAGACAGACAGGCTCAGGTAATGATTATCTCTGATGAAACAACAGTACATGAAACAGCACAGTGACCTGCGGTTACATGCAAGCAAATTCTGAATGAACATCAGGGAAAAAATTCTTAACAGTAGAAACAGCTGTATATTGGAATCAATTACCAAGGGGAGTAGAAGTCTCCCTTTTAATGAATATATTCAAGCAGAGCTGCCATTTATCAGGAATATTTTAATTTGGATCTAAATCACTCCTTTTAATTCTATGATTTGATGATTTCCCAACAGTTAGATTATGCATTAATTTAAAACTTAAGTTAACTTAATGATTCAGTTATGACTGTCCTCACATGAGATTATTATGTTGCTCTAATAAGGTAAGATCTGATCTATAGTTGCTTAAACATATGAACTCCCAAACTTAAAACAGATGAAATGTTCACATGAAGATGGGCTATGGAGAAGTACCTCATAATATATTAAATGAGACAGGAAAGATGAAGATATTTTTCCAGTTTCTTGTAAATGTATTCTATCATACCTATGTTTAGATTTAACCCATTCCTGAATCATATATATTCATTATTTTACCAATTACCTGAGGAGCCAATTAAAATAAAGGTTCATGGTTTCACCACCACACAGAAAATTAATACAGTGATTCTTTCCTGGTCTAAATTGGATAGCTTTACTTCTGTTGCATATTCTTTCACTTTGGAATAAGCTGCTTGTCCAAATGTTTAAAGGACACCGTTGTCCTGACAAATGAATTATTTATCAATTTTTGGCTTTAACTAACTCAAACTTGGGTGGTGAAAGGTTTTTTTTTTTTTGTTCTTACTTGACCAACAGAAGAAGAAATTGGACAAACATTTGTCTGAAATGGTATAAGGTTTCCTGCTTGAGCAGGAGATTGGACTAGAAGACCTCCAAGGTCCCTTCCAACTCTGTTATTTTATTATTCTTTTATTCTGTTAATAATGTACTTCTCCATGGCTTATATCTGCAGTTGTCTGATTTGCTATTTCCGTTCTTTCTTTCTTTTTAACCTTCTTGGCTCTGCCTTCCTGCTTCTGGTTCTCCACATTTCCACAGAAATATGTTTGCTTTGTACAGTAATAATTATAGTAATCCCTCTAGTTTTCCTTGCTCTAGCTGCCCCAGTGTGATGAATGGGTCAGTTGGGGCAAAAAAGACAATTATAGTACTGTGGTGTAGTTCAATGTAAGATCTATACACAAATGCAGCTGTGCTCAAGACCTACTTCAAGAGAATTATTAGTTCCTGAAAAGATATTGCTTTAACAGATTGACTGCTCCAGCTCCTCCTGTTGCAAAGCTGAATTTCTCAATACATTCTAAACTATAGGTGTCCCAATAAAGTGATGCCAGAACTATAAATGATCATAAAACTGTGCTTGCTAATTTCTTATCTCTGTTCATTTCTTGTCTGTCACTGTTATCACATAGCTCGTGCAAATCCATTTATAAAATCTTAATGAAATAAAGTTTAGTTCTGTATTGATTAATATGTTTGTAGTGATTGAAAAACTAAAGAAATTTGAATAATGCAATTATAGGAGTTGCATTCAATTTGTAGGTGACCTTATCTTTGCATTGATATCCTTGCATCTTCTACAAAAACAAAAACTAACATTTATGGTTCTCACAGTATCATTACCAGTGCCAACAAACCATATGTATAGTTAGCCCTCAATTTATAACCACAAGCTGGCTGGGAAGGTTACAAATGATGATTACACAATTCCAGGACAATGAAACTGTCATAAGTACATGGCAATTACCAAGCCCCCAAATTTTTATCACATAACCATGGGGATGTTGCAAGGATCATAAGTATGAAAAATGGTCATAAGTCACTTTTTTCAGTGATGTTGTAACATCAAACAGTTGCTAAACAAATTGTTGTTAAGTTGGGGACTACTTGTAAATACTAGCTGAACAATAGCCTCTTTTTAAAATCATCGTTTTGTGGGTGTCTACAAATTCACTTGTTGATCAGAAAGGTCGGCAGTTTGGCGGTTAGAATTCCTAGCATCACATAATGG